CATCAGCCCAGTCTTAATATCTCAATCGGATCCATAACGCACAAACCACTGGGAATGCATGCACTGATCGATATGCTGAACCTGACCACGGCACCGGTGGGTTCTGGTCGGTAAAGCTGGGCTTTGGGTCGTTGGCAACTTTCCTAACAGCCGAGCTCTTCTCTCAGATCACTCAGCATAGGAGCTGCTGGTTTATATACTGTAACGTTTTACTCGTTTAGATCTGAAGCTCATGCATGACACCAACACCTCTTGAACTGTGTGAATATGAGCCGCGACATGAGAGCCACTTTATTTCGCGCACATTTAATTTATAGTAGGTTTAACAATAAATAATCGGAGAAACGTCACGCGGACTCGGTGGCCGGACTGTGTTAGTTCGTCAGCTACCTCAGCTTATTAAAAACGAAAACGACGTTTTGCATGAATCAAACCCGTCCTGTCCTCGAGTGTGTTGATGGGGCTTTTATAAACATTCGGTGTTTTCCAGCTCGTTTTCGTTGTTTTGGGTTAATTTTACGTGAATTCTGCAAAATACATCACCGCGCTCGTCGGTTTGAGCTGATTTTCGGGGAAAAAAAGTTCATGGCGAAATGAATTCAGGACAAAACGACATACGCACGTAAAGCCCAAAGCCTCCCCTCTCGGACCGTGTCGTTGGGAGGATCGGTACCGAACGAGTCTGGCTAAATTCGGCCTCAGTTCGAGGAGGAAGAAACACAAACCAGCCCGCGCAGATTTCATGGAAGCCCGCTTGATCAGCTGCTGGCAGTTGGTGTTCTCAATCACGTCCGCGTGGAGGCTTCATATATTGTACAGGCGCACTTCGGAGAATAATATACACACTTTCTGCAGCGTTGAGTGTGGGTTATTTAAATACATATTTTAATTGGAGCCTGAACAAAGACGAAGGTGCGACGCGGTGGTAATTTAATCTGCTATTGATAATTTTCTTAAAGAGCTGTTCAAGAATTTTTTTTTCCCAAGTAACTTTTTTCGTGAGAGTTTTTGACGGTTCGGTTCTGTTTTTGTTTGAAATCCTCCAGGACCGACCATGGCTGAAACGGCAGCTACTCCGGCGTCCAAGCCCAGGAAGACGAAAGGGTCCAAGAAATCGGCGTCGCATCCCAAATACTCTGAGATGATCAAAGCGGCCATCGCAGCCGACCGGAGCCGCGGCGGCGCGTCGCGTCAGTCCATCCAGAAGTACGTGAAGAACCACTACAAGGTGGGAGACAACGCCGACTCCCAGATCAAACTCGCCCTGAAGCGCCTGGTGGCCAGCGGGCTTCTGCGACACACCAAGGGCATCGGAGCCTCGGGCTCCTTCAAACTGGCCAAAGCCGAGGACGCCAAGAAGCCAGAGAAACCCAAACCAGCACCCGTGAAAGTCAAGAAGCCAGCCAAAGCCGCTGCCAAACCCAAGAAAGCCCCCAAGCCCAAGAAAGTGGCGAAACCCCCCGCGAAAACTAAGAAAGCCGCCGAGAAGAAAGTGAAGAAGGCAGCGGAGAAGAAGAAATCGCCTGTCAAAGCCAAGAAAGTTGTGAAGAAGGCGAAGGTGGCCAAACCTGCCAAGGCGAGCAAAGCCAAGAAGGTGAAAACGGCGAAACCCAAACCCAAGACAGCGGCCAGGAGAACGGGCAAAAAGAAGTAAATTCAAATCGACAGGACTGATTCACTCGAAACTCAGTGTAAAGACAATTTTTGAAGCAAATGTTTTTGGTGTATAGTTATTTTTGTAAGGTCTTTGTGCGCGGACTTCAACCCCACATTTTTACAAGCGTGTTTCTCCAGAAACTTTTTTTGTGCGCATTTGTGATTCTATAAAGAAGATCCCAGACATCGAAACGGCTAAACTGTTATTTATTTTTTTAAGATTTCTTTCTGGACGTTTTTTTTTTTCCTTTAAGCTGAACTGCACACTATTATTATTATCATTCAGACATTCTAATTAATTTGCCAATTAGATATGTCGCTAGAAGATAAGTTATATTCTGTAGGTCATTCTAGGAATGTGAAGAACAATAATAAAATGTCATTGAAGAACGGTGTCCTACTTGATGACGATGTACAGAATCAACTCGTGACGTGGACTGTTGTAGTCTAGTTCCATTGCTGTCCATCTAATACTGTCATTGCGCGTTATTCGCTTTACTGTGCATCAATAAACTTTTCTAATTGCAAACAGAACTTTGTCTAGTGTTTTACTGCAGCACCATGGAGAGCTCAGATAGATAATATGAGTTTAAACGGGTACCATGGCAGTGGTCCCGTGTGAGATGGGGGGTCCTGAGGAAGCCCATCCTTGGTTTTGGGTTTTGAGGGGCGTTTTGACTCACTGCTGCCCCGCGGTGTTTGATCTGAGAACTGCAGCTGTCAGTGTCACGCTGAGGGTAAACGCAAATGCTTAGTTCAGATGACGTGTCAAGCGACGTGACATCGAAAAATGAAAGCAGTTTCAAACAGAACCAAAACAAATTCAAGTACATTTTTTTCTAAGACTAAAAAACCCCACCACATACACAACATGCAACATTTGAAGCCTTTACAACTTGCCTTCATTAAATATGAATAATATACAAAATTGTTACAAATGCTACAGATAATTCTTTAAAACTCTAAAACTGAAATAAAAATTTAATGTACTAAAAAACTAAAACCCAATCAAAACTATAAAACCAGTTTAATAGTTTTAATTGGGTTTTAGCAAAAAAACAAAAAGGGGGCCAAATTGAAAATAAAACGGTCATAAAAACAAAAAGATAAACTATAATCCTGCATGATATACTCAATTTAAAACTATTTCAAATATAAAATCTTCATATAACATTAACTTGTAATAGTGAACTATGACTATTCAAGTGAACTCCAAAAAGCAAAATGTGAAAATTTAATAGCGACCCATTTTAGCACCTAAAATACACACTTATGCACACGAGACTTCATTAAAAACCTGAGACTTTTTCCAACTGACCTTGGAAATAATTTTGAGACAAAAATTTTATTATATTGAAACATTTCAGATTTCTGTCCGATTAGATTTGTAGCTCAAGATGCTCTTAAGAACATCAAATCATGCTGGAGAACATGATTATGTCATTAAAGCAAAAAAAGACAAACTAAAACATTCTCAAATTCAAGTTTTTCAATGCAAGCATTTTCACTAGCAGTCTCAGACTTTTGGACCCCACTGTACAGTACACTTATTTTATCCTTTATGTTGAAAACTATCCAAAACTCACCTCAAGCATCTCTGATCTGCTCTATGTATATTGCATAATGTTCTTGAAACGTGATGCTGTATGCAGTCTGAACAGTAATGAGATACTGGTTCACTGATACAAGAGGGCCTGCTGCAAACCTCCCGGACCTGCCTGACACATTCATGTGTTAAAACTCGATTTATATTACAGAAATATATGAATTGGCTGAATAATGTGATAATCTAACAGAATAACCCGAAGCACAATGTGTATATGATCTCTCAACAGATAATCAGCTGCTTGAGTCATGTGATCAAGCAAAGTGCACCACATTTTCAGCATGCTGATGTCATAGAGCACAGTAAACAAAATCACCGGGAAAAAAGCTAGTTTATTGCAAAATATTTCTATTAGAACATTCTGGCTTCATTCCAAGTATCTCATTTGATATTGAAGCTGGAAGACCAAGGCAGATGAGACACAAGTCTGGGGGATTTTTAGGTTGAGTTAATAATACTGCACAAAATATTGAAATTATGAAAATTAAACCAATAAAGCAGGACTGCTACAGTTCTATCTTTTTGAAGAAGTATCTTCACATGGAAATTCACGTGAATGAACCAGAAAGACCTTCAGCCCTGAAACTGGCTTTTGGGTTGCTGGGAGAATGTGTTTAGGCCCAATAAATGGTAAAATGGTAACAATGGTTTCAAGATAAATTCAGTTTGGACAATATTATAAATACAGTCAGCCAGGTCATTATAATGGTTGAAGTAACTGTATTCACACTGGTTATCTGGTTTTTGTAAATACAGGACGGCTCTAAATAGCATCAGAGCATTTAATCTTCCTAAAATATCATTTAAAATACACTTATTAACACCATTCAACCCTACTGCAATTTTAAACATAATCAGAAATCATTCACCCCTACAATCAATATAGGCGAACAGAAAAGCAAGATTTTGCAAGTCTCAGCCCAGACTTTAACTATTCTCAAAATCATTAATGGGTTTTGCCTTGGCTGTCTTAAAAAAAAAAAATACATACACACATTTGTCAGTCATGGTCCATACATATAAACTACATCTGAGGAACGTGAAATGGAAATGAATGGGGACTGATGTTTATTTCCCTTTAATTCGGCCAATTTAGAAGATTACACTTAAATGGCTTAAATACATCTGAAAATCTGTGAGCCAAAATGCTTATTTTCTGCTGACATCTGCAGCATTTAAATAAAGTTTAAAGGAATAGTTCACCCAAAAAAGAAAATTTGCTGAAAATTTACTTACCCTCATGCCGTATAAGAAATGGATAAGTTTCTTCATCAGAACAGATATGGACATGGTATTCAATTAAAAAAGTAGGCAATTTTATTAAACAGGAATTGACTGGATTGTGAAAAGTGGGTGTAAGAATAAGAGGGCTTGGCGACATCAACCCGAAAACCAAAGCAGTTTGAAAGTCAGAGTGAGCATTACTTTTTAATTTTCATGAAAGATTCCAAAGATTAAAAAAAAATTTTTTTTTGTTTTTTTAAAGTGGTTTAATTTAAATTGAGCAGTTTAATGCTTAAACTATTTTAAATGTCTTTATTTAATTATTAAATATACAATTAAATATTTTTGGTTCTATGAAGTGATTTAATTTAAACAAGCTTAAATATAATGGTTAAAAAAAAGAAGAAATTAATTAATTTATTATTAAATATAAAAAAAGATTGAATTAATATTAAAATGTAAATTTTTTTCTAAAATTTCTAATTTAATTATTAATAAAATAAATTAATTATTAAGTATAAATGAAAAAAACTAAAAAAACTGTAAGACAAGTATGTACTTACGGGTACATGGCAGCCCAGGTGAGCTTGCTGTAAATGTGTGTGTGAGTGTGTGTGAGCAGCGTGGAGAAATGGAGAGGAGAAGGCAGCCGATGTTTGTAACAAAACTCAGACGGGCTCATCCCATGATGCTGTTTGACTTCTATCAGATCAGCTTTGGAGCCCACAACCACACACGGGATCCCACGGTCCATGTAGTGCTGCTAAAGAGGAATAACACACAAATATACTTCAAAAGCCAGTGAAACAGATACTACGTCTTGACGACTCTACTACTTTTGCTACTGAAGTTGCTGCGTTTATTGGATAAAAAAAATACAGTAACACCAATAATACTGTGAAATATTATTACAATTTAAAATAATTAATTTAAATTACATATAAATGTGATTTATCCCTATGATGGCAAAGTTGAATTTTCAGCAGCCATTACTCCAGTGTTCAGTGTCACATGATCTTTCACAAATGTCATGTCTGATGCATTTGATCAATGTAATGCATCCTTGTTGAATAAAAGCAGCAATATCTTTCAAAAAATTAACTTTTGAACAGTAGTGCATTTTTTTGTAGTAGTGCATTTTTTGGGTTTACACAATTCTGTGAAACACCATTTAAGAAAAAAATCATAAATTGATTTCCTTGAGTTATATTAATAGTGTAAACAGAAGTGCATGTTAGCCAAACAGGCTTCATGAGAAATAAATAACTCGCATCATATATTACTCACTGACAGATATCAGGTTGTGCAAGGTCATTATGGGTTATTAAATAATTTGGATGATTTTAATGTGGTTAATGAATAAGAGTTTGTCCCACATTACTCCAGAACTAAAGCATCTCGTGTATGTGTGGTCGTCTGTACCTTATAAATACTAGCGCAGTAGTTGAAGGAGTCCGGGTCGCTGACATCATACATGAGACACGCCACATCACATGCTGCATCTGCTGTTTTTAGAAACTCTGTTTCCACATCCACCTCCTCCAGCTGTGAGAAATAACACAAACGTCAGGCGGGAGCCAATAAACTACGGAGCGTGTAAAGCATGAGACGCCACTTACGATCAGGTACTTGTCCTGATTGGCTACTGAGACGGTGTTGATGGCGTATATTGTGGGGGGACCGGGGTCGCGCTCGTTTCTCTGAAAACAAACAAAATACACCTTCATCATCAACTTTGTAAATATTTGGTAGATCTAACCAAGACTATTGGGAGCCACAAAAAACATAAATATTTCCTATTTCCTATAACTGTGGTTAGATACCAAAAGTAAAGCATGAAAACCTCTTTCTAGAGTAAAACTGCCTTAAGAAGCAACAAGTACTATTTTGTAACCATATATTAATGCTATTGTTTTACTGTAAAAAAAATCTTGGTCATTGTATGTATTTTCATTGCATCAAAAGAGAAACCATTTGCTTAATAAAAAGTAGAAAATCCATGAACCTTTCAATTTTTTCTTTATTCATAATTTTTTTTTACATTTTTAAATAAAAAAAAAAAATTAACATTAAATATGTTCTGATTGGCTCTGATTTGACTGCAGGTTTAAATTTTTTTTATTTATTGTGTTTCTAAAAATCTCATTGGTATACAAAAAACTAGTTTTCAAAATAAATAAAAAAATATAAAAATATATTAAACATTAAATATGTTCTGATTGGCTAAAGTAAAAAAAAAAAAAATTATTTATTGTGTTCATAGAAATCTCATGGGTATATAATATATATATATTAAACATTAAATATGTTCGGATTGACTGCAGTTTTAAATTTTATTTATTGTGTTCTTAAAAATCTCATTGGTATATATATATATATATATATATATATATATCAAACATTACATATGTCCTGATTGGCTCTGAATTGAATGCAGTTTGTTCTGATTGGCTTCATGCAGTATTTTGTAAAGTAAAATTACAAACAATCGTTTTGCCTTTAAGTCATTCTCTCACCTCAGTGCTTCGCTGCAGAAAAGCTTGGAGGAAGTCGGTCTTTCCTGTTCCACGTGGACCGATCACTTTGCAGAGGAACACAGTGCGCTGGGTTTGTCTCTTCTCCAGGTCTAAGGCCTTTTCTCTTGTTACTAACATACACACACAGAAAAAGAAAGAAATACTCTTCAGTGTCCGTCTGATCAAACGTGGAGTTTACAGCAGGTCTGTGTGTGGACCTCATTACCGGTGACTAGAGATGCGCAGATCTGATACTGCATTAAAGGACTTTATCTTGCTGGAGTTTAGTGCGGTTTCTAAATCATGTTACTTTCTACCGGGTGTCACGTAAGATCACAGCACTGGAGTAGAGAGCTCTATGAATTGTTCTTCACGTGCACAGTAACTGAAATTTAACACAGTTAAAAGAAAAGACTATCGCACAGATATAATACACTACGCATCAATATCTCTTCCCTTTGTGCTTTGAACTTTTCTATGCGGAGCGCTGCGCACTGTGTTGCTTCAAGTGCATCATAAGTGCTGCTGTGTATTAGAGCCTTTCTTATTATAATACTTTTGCACAATGAAAGATTATTAATAGCCTTTCTTGTTGTCTTATCTATCATATGTTGCTGCCTCATTACTGTGCTATATACTAAATATTTTTTTTCACTAAATGATTAGATTCTATAAAATTATTGTGCACTCATGATTTTTCTAGAGTAACTTTTGCTGCTGAATTATCCACTAACCTAGTTTGTAATAGTATTATGATTCTATATTTTTTCATTTGTTATTTTTCTTTAAAATTAAGTTGTCTATATTTAGTAGATTGTGTTTTTAACACAAAACAGTGCTGATCAGGTCAACACACATGGAGGTACAAAAACTCTACACTGATTTAAAAAAAATAAACTGCGCTGGTATCGAATCGGCTGATACTCAGAATTGTTGTTATCAGATCGGATTGGTTCTGAAAAAATGGTATGGGTGCATCCCTACCTGTGATGGCGGAGGTCTGGGACTCTCGCTCCATTAGAATGGGATAGCCGAGGTAACCAAGATGCTCCAAACACCGGTGGACATCCAGATAAGCGGATAACCTGCGGTTTATTCAATAACACATCAAATTTAGAACTATAACTACAGAACTGGGAATGCGTATTAATAATATTCCAATTCTTAATAAAATCCCAAAATCCTTTACGTTATGCTAGTTTCCTGCACAAATAAATGACTCTTATGTGTCATGTGTAGCATGATTCACAAACGACTCACATACTGATTCTTTTTAATGAATCATAATTATACAGCACAACATGTGTAGTATGACTCCCCAACAAACAACGCTTATGAACAGTTTTTTAGTGAATCATTAACATACGGCACAACCAGTGAAGTCTGATTCACGAAAAAATGACTCTTATGAAGCAGTACTTTTTAGTGAATCAAAAACATACAGTGCAACCACTGTAGCCTGAATCCCAAACAAATCTCTCTTATGAACTGGCTCTTTTTAGCAAATCAAAAACATTCAGCTCAACTAGTGTAGTCTGATTTACAAACAAATGACTCTTATGAACTGGTTCTTTTAAGTGAATCATAAACATACAGCACAACATGTGTAGCATGATTCACAAACGACTCACATACTGATTCTTTTTAATGAATCATAATTATACAGCACAACATGTGTAGTATGACTCCCCAACAAACAACGCTTATGAACAGTTTTTTAGTGAATCATTAACATACGGCACAACCAGTGACGTCTGATTCACGAAAAAATTACTCTTATGAACCAGTACTTTTTAGTGAATCATAACACAACATGATTCACAATAAGATTACTCTTTTTTTTAGTGCATCATAAACACACAGAGCAACCAGTGTCTAATTCACAAACAAATGACTCTTTCGATCAGGTCCTTTTAATGAATCATTCTAAAATGCCCACAAAAACAAGAGTTGCTGTATGATTTAATCTGATGATTTACTGAATGAATTGGCCAGAGCAGTACTTCCAGTGATGGAATATTTTAAACAAATCAAATCAGAATTGAATCAAAAGGGGAAATGTGTATTAATACCTACCAGAAAATAACCGATTTAAATGTGTATTGCACTGTTCAAACTTTGACTCACATCCACTGGCAGAAGTACCCGTGCTGTGAGATGTAGTTGTCGTCTGATAGGGAGACGTTACTGTACACCTCCGGGCCCCAGGGCATGTAGGGTAAAACACTAAACAGATTCTTCAGCTCTGCGGGAGAGAGAGCTGAATCCTTATCCTGCAGGAGGAGAGACGCAATCATCAGCCTGACGAACCTCTAATCACTTTTATCTAACCACGATTCACTCAACTCACGATTCGATTCGATTCACGATTTTGATTTCATGATTCGATCCTCAATTTTTATTTTTATTTTTTACAAAATGACATTTAAGACAAATTATAAATTAAATGTGTCAATAAATAAGTAACACAAATAAATCTCTTCATATAAACAAACTAAGGCTTTGTCTGTGCTCTTTCCATTTAAAATTAGAGCAGACTAACTTTAGACAGGTAGCTAATTTAGTTAGGTAACTAACTAAATCAAATCACTGCATTTTAATCGTGATCCAAACAAAGATGCTGCATACATGCAACGTGATCAGTTTTTAATCTAAATTAGATTGTATAATTTCGAACTTTGAAGCAAAAACAGAACGGTTTGACTTCAGTTTTGTGAAACTATACATAAAAATATCTGCATGAAACAGAAAATACCATCTAAACTTTTCTAAAGACAGTAAGTTCCCCTCAGACATACATTCATATAAACATCCGGCCCCTAAATGAATCGCGATATGTTTAGCATCTCAACTGATTTGAATCATCACATATTTGAATCGATTTTCAACCGGCTCGTGGTTAATCGTTACATCCCTACTAATCACGCAAAGTTCATTAGAGGATCAGATGTGAGAGCTCTCCTCGTCATACTTATCAAACAGCTTCTGGAGGAACTGATGACCCAGATGATTCAGCTCCGTCGTGCAACCCACCGATACTCGTAATCTATAAACACACACGTCTAAGTCACTTAAATACTGGTTTTTGCTCATGCAATCACATGCTCTCTCATGCACAGACGTACGGTGGGTAGAGGTAGTCATCGGTCAAGTCGAGAGTGTCATCGTAGCCGAATTTACGCAGGATGGTCCAGGTGGTTTCATGACGTCCCCTCTGGATAAAGAGCGTGTTCAAGAACAGGAAACCTAGGGAAAACACACAAACACACTTGTAACAGTGTGTAATTACGATTAATGTACAAATGAGAGTGGGTCTAAGGAATATGAATATATGTGTAACGTGTCTTACCGTTGAGTGTGAGTCCGTTGTCCTGGACTCCATCACTGGTGTTCTTCCAAACGACTGTCTTCACGTCCTCTAGAGCCTGAGGAGCCAGTGGATTCCCGAAACACAATTTCTACACACACACAAATTCCCATTCAAATCAACAGTATATTTAGGTATATTATTTCAAAAAATATTTTTAGTTTAAATGTTTAGTTAATATTTACTACTTACAAGTAATTACGCCACGCTACATAGGACAATTGGTTTAGAGAATGAATGAAATGAATTAACTACAATTTATGCATTTGTTAATTATGGGGGGAAAAACAGATTTCAGTTGGTATTTTATATATATATATATCAGGGGTGGAACGATACATGTATTCGTACCGAACCGTCAAGGTACGGACATCTCGGTTCGGTGCATGAGGCCTTACAACGAATGCAGGCAATTCACCCCAATCCAGAAGGGGGCGCCCACAGCAATGCAACGCTGTTTGATAACTGGCCGCCAGCAGAAGAACAGATATATATATATATATATCAAACCTACTGAAATAGTGTTGTTATTGTTAACTAAAACTATAAAAAATAATTTAATTGAAGTAAAAAATAAATAAAAGAAATTACAAATGTTACCTTGTCAATTAACTGAAATAAAATATGTTTAGACTGAAACAATAAAAAAAAAATCTAAACTAAATAGAAATGTTACAAAAAAGTAATAAAAACGGAAAAAAAACAAAAACAAGAAAATTACTAAAAATGTAAACTATACTTAAAATGAAAACTGAAAATCTAAAAATAATGATAATTACTAAAATTGTATATAAATAAAACAAAAATCACTTAAAGACAAAAGAACACAAACACAAAATTATTTCATTTATTTAACCCATTTAAAATTCTTAATAAAGGCCTCAAAGCAACTGCACATAATGAATCTAAAGAAAAATATGAAATATTAATTAGAAATATAATTTTTAATAATCTTTCACCTAACTTTAATAACTTTGTGTACCTTTTAAACACCTTTTTGGCTAACAGATAGACAGGGAAAATATGTTGAATAAGCTTTACATCAAATTATCCTGCCTTACATTATTTTCTGCTGTATAATCCATTTCAGTCCAAAATCGGCCTCATTAAGGAAGTGAATTAAATGAGCTAAAAATGTCGTTTCTTTTTTGTTTGCTCACCTGAAAGCAGTTGAGTTCAGCATCACTGAGAATGTGATCATTATCCTGATCAGAGATGCTGAAGATCCGACTCAGAGCTCGAACACACTGCAGCTTCAGCTACACAAAAAAACGCATAACACACACAAACATTCAGAAATCTTACATGAACTCATAAGATGAAGCCGGGCAGAGATGTAGCAGTGTGTGCGTGTGTATACCTGTTTGTCTTCAGGGTCGTAGAGCGGAGCAGTCGGGTGAAGAACGGCCTTCTGGGCGTAATAAAAGAGCTCAGAAATATTCTTCAGATTCTTAGCTGAGCACTGCAGATGAACACAAATGCATCATCATATAATCATATATAATATATCATATACTCATAATCAGCATTTTTGGCCACCTAGGCTAAAAAGATGCCATCTAGGTAGAATACTCACTAGGGTTTAAGAAAGATCCATTACATTTTCAATATTCAGTACTTCATCAGTAACCAAAAACACTTTAAATTATTAACAAAACAGGTATTTTTTTGCTCTATTGAAATAGAGTTTCAATATATACAAACAATACCATTCACAAAGCCAAACGTCCTCTCCAGTCCGCTAAATAAACTAGAATAAAATGACTTGTTCAGAAATGTTTTAACAAACAACATTCAGAAGAACGAGCCAGTATAAAGAGTTTAGCCAATCACAGCAGCGTTCATTTATATAGAGAATTCTTAAAGGCACAGCTGCAAAAACAGAGTCAGGTCAGCGAGAGGGTCAAATATAGTCATGAAAAATGTAATTATGATTTTCTATAGCGAGAAACCTTGACTAATTTTTTTTAAGTTGACTTCAGGAGAAAACTAAACTAAAAAAGTGTGATAAATGACCCTTTTCATACATTCATGCGAATCTATATGAGATATGTTTGAAATATGTTGAAGATTTATTTGAGTTTGTGCGGTCAGCGGTTCGAACCTCTACACAGGTCTCAATCTCTGAAAACTGGTTCATGATTGGCAGGATGCTTTCCATGGAGCTGCCGGAGCGCAGGTCGGACTTGTTGCCCACGAGGATGATGGGAATCCTACGGCAACAAAGAGAGCCATTTTTTATGGAACTCCTAAAAAATGCAGATGCACTCACATAAGAACGGCATCCATAAACATACTTGCTTCCTTTTTCAGCACCACCGTTCACCAGTAAATAGAAAGCAGTAATTTTGAATTATAAAAATATTTCACAATATTACTGTTTTTACTGTATTTGATCAAATTAATGCAGTTGTGATTGCAGCGGTTTAGGACAAAAACTAAAATTAACATGAAAGAGATGTGATTTACGGCTTGTTATACTCATTCAAGATCAGGAAAATTCTCACCTTTACGATTTCCTCCCTCAACACTTCATCAGACTGTTCAGTTTCTGTAGAGACACACCGAGTATTAATATAATACTACAGGGCAAATATTATGTCATTCAATACACACACACACACCTGAATAGTCGACTATATGTGTGGGCACTTTCTCAGGCGTGACGTCGGCCGGTATGGTGATCTCCTCCGCCCGGAGAGGAACCTGACGGCACAAACGCATGAGCTTCCTCTTACTGCATCCGTCAAACACACACCAGACCAGAGAGGCTCATGGGTAAACTCACCAGCTCGGGAAACTCCTCTCCGACCAGAGACATGATGAGAGAGGTCTTTCCCACTTTGGCTGCAGGAAAACAAAGGATAGAATAATACTGAATCCCAATAAACGCATTCCCACAGTTCATTTGACTCTAGATTTGTGAAACGTCACATGTTCTGCACCGCAATCACAAACGCTTCTTCTGTGATTTCCTTTGCAAATCAGTGTAGTGTTAGATTGATTTCCAGTTTTATTAGAATGTTTCCACTCCTTCATCAGTGTTGAATCTTATACGTGATGTGTTCATCAAATTGTAGCTGTACTATTACTTTTTTAGGCAAGTTGAAAAAGCACACTCCAAAAGAACTGGACACTCCTACAGGTGTTCACCTTGAGTTTATAAGGTCAGTAAAGAGTTAAAACTAGTAAGAACATGACTTGAGTTCAGCAGGCATGGAATAAATGTAACACTAATGACGAAACAAAACGTGTGCGCTGTCTAACGAAATGACACTTCAGCTATATATGCGCTATATCTAATTCAAGACACTGATATGCTCACCATGGCTGAATTTATTGGATTAAAAATACAGCAAAAACAGTAATATTGTGAAATATTATTACGATTTAAAATAACTATTTTCTATTTGAATATATTTTAAAATGTAATTTATTCCTGTGATGCAAAGCTGAATTTTCAGCATCATTACTCCAAGTCTTCAGTGTCACATGATTTTAAAAAAAAATTTTTTTTATAAAGAAATCAATACTGTTATTCAGCATGGTTGCGTTAAATTGATCAAAAATGACATTAAAGACATTTATAATGTTACAAAAGATTTCTACATAATAAATATTGTTCTTTTAAACTTTCCCGGGTAAAAAAAATTAATGGTTTCCACAAAAACATGAAGCAGCACAACTATTTCCAACAATAATAATACAACGAAATGTTTCTTGAGCAGCAAATCAGCATATTAGAATGATTTCTGAAGGATATATCTACATACACAGCATTATCAGACAATTTGAAGATTCTCTATGAATACGTGAACTGTAACAATATACAGACAAAAAAAATTAAATAAATCTGTCAGGCTGAGCAAAACTACTCTCCTTAAAACCTGCATGCAAAACAAAAATCAAAGTGTCAAAACAAATCAAGGCAAACAAATATATATATTACTGTCTACTAAATACAAAGCACACGAAAGTGTGTAATGAGTCTTAAAAATGCATATATCTGGATATCTATCACATACAAATATCTACTAAATAAAGCAGGTTTTTAAGCCTGTAATCTGTGTGAACAACTTGCTCACTTGATAAAAAAAAGTTAATTTTGTGTGTTTTGATTTTGCATGATTGTAAACAACAAATTAAACTTATAAATAAAGCACTCAATTAATCGATAATTCAAGAGTGCAGTGCGTTTACTGCAGATCAAGGTTGAGGGTTAGCGCTCTCTAATCATGCTAACTTTCATTAAACGCTCACATTTATTTAATTCCCTTGATATTTAAAAGAAATAATATCTTACGTTCCCCCAACAGCAGTATCCGGACATCGCGTTTCATTTCACTCCGCTCTCTATTGAACGCTCCGACAAGCTGCGGCTATCTTTTCCAAAAACGCACTTGGCCTGAGGTCACATCTACTAATATGTCTCCTCTGTGAGCTACGCAGTCAAATGTGGTGTACACTACCGTTCAAGAGTTTTGGGTCAGTAAGATGTTTTCAGAAATTAATACTTTTTTCATTAAGGATGCGTTAAATTGATCAAAAATGACATTAAAGACATTTATAATGTTACAAAAGATTTCTACATAATAAATATTGTTCTTTTAAACTTTCCCGGGTAAAAAAAATTAATGGTTTCCACAAAAACATGAAGCAGCACAACTATTTCCAACAATAATAATACAACGAAATGTTTCTTGAGCAGCAAATCAGCATATTAGAATGATTTCTGAAGGATATATCTACATACACAGCATTATCAGACAATTTGAAGATTCTCTATGAATACGTGAACTGTAACAATATACAGACAAAAAAAATTAAATAAATCTGTCAGGCTGAGCAAAACTACTCTCCTTAAAACCTGCATGCAAAACAAAAATCAAAACGCCAAAACAAATCAAGGCAAACAAATATATATATTACTGTCTACTAAATACAAAGCACACGAAAGTGTGTAATGAGTCTTAAAAATGCATATATCTGGATAGCTATCACATACAAATATCTACTAAATAAAGCAGGTTTTTAGCCAGTAATCTGTGTGAACAACTTGCTCACTTGATAAAAAAAGTTCATTTTGTGTGTTTTGATTTTGCATGATTGTAAACAACAAATTAAACTTATAAATAAAGCACTCAATTAATCGATAATTCAAGAGTGCAGTGCGTTTACTGCAGATCAAGGTTGAGGGTTAGCGCTCTCTAATCATGCTAACTTTCATTAAACGCTCACATTTATTTAATTCCCTTGATATTTAAAAGAAATAATATCTTACGTTCCCCCAACAGCAGTATCCGGACATCGCGTTTCATTTCACTCCGCTCTCTATTGAACGCTCCGACAAGCTGCGGCTATCTTTTCCAAAAACTTCCAATTCAATTCAAAGCTCAGTGCTAGTTTCCGACTAGCCCCATTCCATCCAAAGAAACTGTCACCGCTGCAGACTTCCGGTTGGAGCCCAAATGGAGCGCCCTCTACCGTTCATTTCCTTCGTTTTTTAATTCGCTTCACTATTTATGTGTTTATTTGTATACTACTTGTATGTGTACTTTTTCTATTAGAAGTACATTATACATTAACAATTATGCTACTAAAGCTTTTTTTGACTGACTGAACTAATAAATAAATGGGGATTAAATAATATCATTGCCTTGAATATATTTACTGGTAGTAATTTATGGAAAATACTTTACAATTCCATGAAAACATGAATAATTCAAAAGATAATACACTAAAAGCATTGGAATACAATAATTAAAAAAATTTTTCAAATAAAATGATTTGAAAAATATATAGGTGATATTATATTAATCTAATTAATTTATATGAGCTAAAGGTCTGTTAGGCGTTATATAATGCTTTTTAATGACATTAAATAAAGTTATTGTAAGTGTTAACAAATCAGGTTCTGTTTTACTGGAACTGTAATAGCTTTATTTAACGCAAACATGAGCACTTCAGAGATTTTATGAATTTTATTTCTGAGGATCAAAGTGCAGAACAATTTCAGGGTATTTCTTACAAGCAAAATAATTTTAAACAGTGTAAAAAGTCAAGAGCTGAAAGCAAGTGTATCAAAAATATTAAAAACAAATAAAAAGATTACAAAACCCCCCAAATAATAAAACTTCAAGTCATGCTAACTGGATGCAGAATATGGCAAAACTGCTCTGCTACATCAATGCAACGTTTCGACTATAATAATAATATTATATTAATATAATAATAATAAATCTGACACCACAGTAACTACTGCAATCCAAACTGAGAGGGACCAAACTATCAAACCCCCGACCGTAGCGTTAGTGTTGAGGTGTCAGCATTATAATCCGTGTACAGTCCACAGTAAGAGCTCATTATGAGCAGCAGTGAAGAGCTGAGATCCAGACCAGCTGAAGCTGCACACGTGAACCGAGTCACTCTGAGACATGAAATCCTGAAAACGCCCGCTGGACGAATGTATCCGCTTCAGGACGCGCTCTGAAACACAAAGCATCACCATTACATGACTATATAACTCACAAACACATTACTTTCATGTTTTAAAGCATAACAGCGCACTAACGGTTTGATCCAACAGCGATCAGCCTTCCAGTTGAGCAGAGACTGAGACAGAGCGCCCAATCAGCCAGAGAGATCGTCCTCAAAACCTACAAAACAAAACCCATGCATCATCTTACATTCTCACAGGATGACTTTAATTGGCCGATAAAATTGAGTGGAGAGAAAAATGAGGTAGACAGTCATGGTTATAAAGGCCGAGAGAGAGTGTTTGAGTACCTGTTTTTTGTAAAGGCAGTAAAAGATGATCTCTTTTTCCACAGCGTAGCCGGTATAAACCACCGTTCCTCTCTCGCTGGGGCTGAACGCTGCTAAACTGGGTGGTAATGCCAGTGCATCCTGATTAAAAAGATAAAGTGGCTACTTCTTAGTCTTTTCAACTGCAATAAACACATGTGAATGATCAGAGCAGCTCAAGTGTACATAATATACAAACAAGTTCAGAGCATATTTATTGGCCTAATATCAATCACCTCTGGTGGGCTGGGCGCTGGAAACGTCAGCCAATCAAGCAGCTCGCATTTCTCCTTCGTCCAATCAGCTGCCCAGATGCTGACACGCCTGTCTGCACTTACAGCCAACCAGAGCTCATTTCCCTCCAGACCAAACTCCTTATACTAGAAGACATTTATATCAGCACACAAACATTAAATCATTTAGCAAGAACTGGACGATTTTTCAGATAAAAATGTCAAATGCAATAAAAATGTGCTCCGGGTTTGCTGGGCTTGTTTGTAGGGCTGCACAATCTGGCCAAAAATGATTATTTAGATCAATATGACCACATTTATTATTATTGTTGTTATATTTATTATTAATAATAATAACAACAAAAATGTATTATTATTATTATTATTTATTATACATATTATTATTACTAAATAAAAATATTAAACAAAATCTCTGGCCAACAAAAATGACTATAATTAATAACAATAATAAATTATTATTATTGCTATTATTACTAAATAATACAATTATAAATAATAAAATAAATAAGAAATAATAAAATAAGAAATATTACTATTGTAATATTTCACTGTAAAATAAAAAAATGAGTATTTAAGAAAAAATTGATATATCAATATGACTTTAATTATTATTATTAATAATAGTAATAAAATAATGATGACAATAATAATAATAATTGGTTATTCATTATAATTATTATTACTATTACTAAATAAAAATATTAAACAAAAGAAACAATTTTACTATTGTAATGTAAATAAATCGCATATTTGAAAAAAAAATCATTATTTTATTTTACAGTATATCTGCACAATATTAATGTTTACAGCTGTGTTCTCTTCATATTCAAATGTTAAACCAATGTGAGCTGTTTGTGTGTAAAAGAACACAGTGCCACGCTTCACTCTGAAACACGCAGCACATATATTTATTTCTTTACATTTGCAATAATCAGCCTTTGCAATAAGCTATTTTGCAATTTCAGTTTTATTTCAATTGCATTATAACTTACCCTGTAAGTATTTGGACACTTAAGTTACACTTAAAATTTGACAATGCCATTGAATATCTGTATATTTTTGTCTCAAATGCTGCAGTATCTTTTCTTTATACTAAGATCAAGTTTAAGATCTCAATGTTTTTGTATCAAAGTCATGTATTTTTAAGCGTGACTTCAGTGTCCGAATACTTTCTAGGAATGGCCCACAATTCCACATCACACACAATGTTGAGTCATTTGCCTTGCAAAACAAAACCACAAAAACAAACACACAGAAGCACAAACCTGTTTGCTGGTGCACTGCACTGTAGTTATGGGCGCCCCCTTGTGGTCACGGATGGTGCGTACAGTGACTCCAGTGACAGGACTGCTGACAGTAATGAGACCATCACGACCACCAGACAACAGCACATGACCTACACATACACACACACATCCATGAAGTGAACATAAACACACAAACGCTCACATAGACACAAAGGACTCACGCACCGTAGTGTGAGTACTGCAGCGCACACACAGACACAGGCTGAGGTTGTAGTTTCAGCTCCATCTCGGCCGACTCCAGACTGAAGATCCTCACAGTCCCGTCACTGTAACCGCCCGCAACACACACACGCCCGCTGGGCTCATACACACCCCTCGGAGACGACCAACACACACACTCACAGCTCTGCCATACAGAGACACATACAGAGACACAATTAAACAATAATTAACTGCAAAGGAAAATGAATTTGATACTCAAAAGAGTTTGACTGGCGATCAGAGAAAGATTATTAGCCATGATTCCATTAGCCAAGTTACACTATCTTCTAAAAGCTAGGGGTCGGTAAAATGTTTTAATTTTGATGCTCACCAAGGCTGCATTTATTGGATCAGAAATACAGTAAAAACAGTAATATTGTGAAGTAACTGTTTTCTGTGTGAATATATTGTAAAATGTAATTTATTCCTGTGATGCGCAGCTGAATTTTCAGCATCATTACTCCAGTCTTCAGTGTCACATGATCTTCAGAAATCATTCTAATATGCTGATTTGCTGCTCGAGAAACATTTCTGATTATTATCAGTGTTGAAAACAGTTGTGCTGCTTCTCATTTTTGTGGAAACCATAATATATTTTTTCAGGATTCTTTGATGAATAAAAGGTGTGTTTGTATACTCAGGTGCTTGTAAATATGCTCATTTACCCCACCTTTACTTGTATTTTCATTAGTTTTGTTGTTTTTGTTAATTGTCAAGTTTTGGGCTAAAAAATGATATTAATGTGTTTTAACCTACTTCTAATAATGACTGTTTAATAAGTAAATGTTTGAGCATGAAAATGTTCTGATTCAGTATGGCTATGACTCAGAACCACCAAATAATTTCATGCAAAAAATGATGGATGGAAACACCAAAATGTGAAGAAAAGAAAAAAAAACACATGAAACTTGTATCCTGAGGTGGATACATTATTCTGTAAGAAGTCATGCACACACAGTCTTTTTTGCATCTGTGTGTTTATGCTCACCTGGTTCAAGCACCTGAAACTGCACCAGCAGCTCGTGGCTCTGCAGTGCCCAAACTCTCACACTGCCGTCCTGCCCACAGGTGGCAAAATGCTGCTCATCTGGACTGCAAACCAAATTTCATGCAAAAAATGATGGATGGAAACACCAAAATGTGAAGAAAATAAAAAAAAACACACAAAACTTGTATCCTGAGGTGGATACATTATTCTGTAAGAAGTCATGCACACACAGTCTTTTTTGCATCTGTGTGTTTATGCTCACCTGGTTCAGCACCTGAAACTGCACCAGCAGCTTGTGGCTCCGCAGTGCCCAAACTCTCACACTGTCGTCCTGCCCACAGGTGGCAAAATGCTGCTCATCTGGACTGCAAACCACACCATTCACCTACAACGTAAACACAAACTTCAGTGTTTTGGGCAGAAGTAATGTTGCTTTTAGAACCATTTCAACTTTCGCTATGGATGGGTTTCCCATCTGTTGATAAAAGCAGGGGTAAAGCTGAAGCGTTTGTGTGTCGTACCTTGCTCTTGTGCCCGCTGATCAGCCGTATACTAGTGCTGTCAGCCCAGTCGATGTACCACAGGGTTCCCGCTGTCGTACCCACAATCCCCATGTCCATGACATCATCAAACGCTGCACTGACCACTGTCCCATCCAACAGTTCTTGTTCTAGCTGCACCTGAGCTCTTATGGAGTCAAAACAAGCTCTTATTAATTGTTTTTACAAAGTGAAAGACAAAAAAACATGGAAATCAGGACAAAATAGGGATGCTGTCAGCCCAGTTGATGTACCACAGGGTTCCTGCTGTCGTACCCACAATCCCCATGTCCATGACGACATCAAACGCTGCACTG